AATCTTCGACTAAGCTGTATCCAGCACATGCTCGACAAAAACATCCTGTTGATGCGCATCTGTCGTTTTCCAGTTATGGGTCAGTAGCGAGGGATCTGCGTCCCTTGCCCTTTATCCAACGGCACCTTATCACGACGGACGGAAAAGAAAGACAATGGCAGCGAAATCGGACACCATCCTTTGATACATAAAGGTATCCCAAAGGGCAGCAACGCATAAGGTTGTGCGGTTTCAGCATGCCTTGTACCTACCAATATGGCGCTTGGGTCAATGCCTGCCTGAGCGCGACGGGAGAAAGGCCCGAGGGAAGGGCGGACCAACGATCTTCTTAAATCGACGAACGGCAGACCATCCACACACCCGGAGGTCTTACCATACAACTTAAGGGCTTACTTTCTGGTATCCTTGGCGGCGATCAATCCTCCCCCCTCCTCGGCGAAATGTGCTTCGAAATCATATCCGCCCCATCATCCCTTGCTTTGCGACGAGATCCGTCCCATCGATGGCCATTTGGCGTATCCTTGGCCTTGGCGTCGAGAAGACGGTCAGCTCCGTGATAGAACCTCACATCGACTGGTCATTGGAGCATATCCTCCCGTAACATGGCTACCTCGAGAGCTATATGGCAACCCACCTGGCCCAGCTCCCGGAAATCCATCGAAACCAGTAGTTTTGAAAAGCTCCCAAGGTTCATGGATCGAGGTTCTCTGCAGCTCGAATTCAGTATCTTAAACATCATAACTCGGTCTCGTCTTTCCCTCCTCCTTCTGTTCCACAACGTCAAAAGAGGCAAGTCCTATGACGATAGTGTTCCTGCGCATCGTCTAGCTAAGACTCCAATGTCTGCAAGAGACCATGGATGGGCATTTCACTGCATCGTTGGGCAAAAGCAATCCAAGACAAGGCCTTTGCCATGCCCAGACACCAGATGTTGGGGGTGTCGACAGTTCGACGAAAGCTTCTCCCGCCAATCAACAAGACGGGCTGCTGCATCAAGCATGCTTCTCTGGACGGTCAACATGCGAGAGCGGGTACATGCATTCGTTCGATTCCCATAGACGAGACCACAGGACGGATCCGACTTTCCGGTGTGTCTCGCACTTTAACCGCACGACACGGGACGAGATATGGAAGAGAGAGAAGAAGAGCACGAAGGTGAATTTTTAAACTTTTGGCTCCTGACTTAAGCTTGCATCAACGCTCCACACCAAGGTCACCCATGAGAATTCCACAAAGAAACCAAATGCATAGGTGCATGACTTTATACTTTTATAACAGCAACCCAATAATGATTATATTTTTGTTCCCAAACCCATAAAGCAGCCCGCTTAACCTTAGATGAGGCCCTTAAATATGGCAGCCTCAGCGTTAAGGATGGAGGAACCAGCAGCTCCAATAACAGCTACAGGGAGGTATTAGCGCGAAACTGGAAGAGGCGTTCGAGGCATAAGGCGACTTACTGTTGTGGCTCAGGGCAACAAACTTGATATCGAAGATACCACTCTCGTCCTCTCTAACGCGGCCAACGCTGACAGTGTATCCCTTGCAGAGATCACGGTCAAGACGGGGCTGGGGCCTGTCTGCCTCGTCAAAGACCTTGATAGGGGGCTCGGGGGCCGAGGGGCACCCCAGCTTCTGAGCATCAGAAACATAGCTGCGCATGGCCTCCTTGACCTCCTCGGCGGACGGGGGCGGGCGCTGGGCGAAGCGCAGCGACACGCAGGCGGTGTGGCCGTCCAAGACAGGAACACGGTTGCAGGCTGCCGACACCCGGAGCTGCTTCTGGTCCTCGAAGGCAGTGGCGTCGGCGTTGAGAGAACCCAGGATCTTCTGGGCCTCGGTTTCCAGCTTGTCCTCCTCGCCCGAAATGAAGGGCACGACATTGTCAATGATGTCCATGCTGCTGACGCCGGGGTATCCAGCACCCGAGACAGCCTGCATGGTGACGACGGATACGGTATCGATCTTGCCGAAGCGCGCCTGGAGGGCGGCAAAGGGGGCGACGAGGCCAATGACGGCGCAGTTGCTGTTGCATACCAGGAAGCCCTTCTCGAGGCCGAGGGTCTTGCGCTGGTGGGGGATCAGGTCGAGATGGTTGAGGTTAACGGTCGGGACGACGAGGGGCACGAGGGGGTCGCGTCTGTAGTTCTTTGCATTGGAGAAGACGGCAATGTTGGCGTGCTGGAACTCCTTCTCGACGTCGCCGGCAACATCGCTGTCGAGACCGCTGAAGACGATATCGCAGTCGGCGAATTTGCTGGCCTTGCAGTCGCGGACGACTAGGTCACCGAACTCGGCAGAGATGGGGGTGGATTGCTTCCAGCGGACGGCATCGCGGTACTTCTTGCCAGCGGAGCGGGAGGAGGCGCCGACGGCGACGAGCTTCAGGACAGGATGGTTCTGGAGCAACAGGATGAAGCGCTGGCCGACGGAGCCAGTGCAGCCCAAGACACCTACGGGACGTCATAGGAACGGTTAGTGCTCGGGCCGGCATAATGTTGTTTCGTGTCGGTGTGTTGATTGGAGAAGCAGCATGGATCCGTCTGGTCTGGAGACGGGGACACATGCTGAACACATGCTGCAGTGTCCCCTCTCAAGGAAGGAACCTTAAAAGGGTGAGGTGTCGCAGAGACTCACCAACGTTTCTGGTAGGAAATTGAGACATGATGACGATCTGGGCTGGGAACTAAACAATATGATTCAACGAACAGAATGGAATGGATCAAGCAACCAGAACAGGAAAGATGTTGGGCAGGATTATGATTATGGTTCAGATAGGAAGGTGAGTCAATGGCGCTCTTTCTTCCCAGACAGCGGCGGGATCTGCTCCGCAACTTTTTTCTCTCGTTGCCTCTCACAGATGAGTCGCCATCGGCTCGGCGCCCCGCCACGGGCAGGGTTCCTCCTACACTCCGGCGATCGGAGCTGTGATGCACACTCGTGTGGGTGTGGGGCCAAGCACGGGAGCCCCAAGCGTGGAACTTGGGGGACTTCCACTTGTCCAGCACACTGTCGTCGCTTGGTTTCAGGGACAGGAACGGGGCCAAGCAGCGTCCGTGTCCATCAGGGTCGAGTGGTCGCAAGACAGGGTGTTCCCAGGGCCGCGTGTTAGCTCCAACGTAGGAGGGTTGCGATCAGCGGTCTGGTCCGACTTTGGAGCATTGGTGGAGGCGACCCTGTCCCACTCCGGGGAGAAGTGGAAGTGTACTTCCAGCCCAGGGAGTACCTCTTCTCTGTAAATGTAGCGGTACGGTACGTACACTGCCAGGCCGTAGGGCTGGAACCCGTCCACATGCCCTGCTCCATCTTAACAGGTCACGGACTGCTGTTCCGTTCTGTTCCCTCACCACCTACCACCGACTGCAGCCAAACACACGCTCTCAACATTCGTCAAGATGCGATTCAGGAGCATCGAGTCGCACCTGACATCGTTTATACAGTGCGCGGCACATATAGCTTCACCACAGCAAGAACTTCTTCTGGATTTCTCGCTTTCTGGAAAGTGTGCTGCATCTGTTCGACGTTGCACACAAGGCTTGGCCGTTACGTACCACGACCGGCTTTAACACGACCTGTTTTATAGGTGAGCAGCGCTCCCCACAATAGAAACGACGGGATGAAGAAGCACAACATCAACGTCCCCCGTCGTGATCAGTACCCAACTGCGCTTGGGGAAGAGCTTTGCGCAGGCGATTCCTTGTGATCGTACGACAGCGTCAACACTCCCCGCCTATTGTCAAGCTCTTCTTCCCTCACGAGCCGCTTGTCAGCGTCCGCTCCAAATTCAGCATAGCGCCCGGAGCCAACAATCGTATTCTGCTGGCTTACCAGAGGTGCATAAGGAAAAACATCATATGACCTGGATATGCATGGGGTAGTATATGCCCCATAAGGTTGGCTTCGAACTGGGCCCAGATAATATCTCCCCCGCCACGATACGTACGGGATCCCCCATGCTCGTCACCCAGCCCTACGTACTCTATCTTTTGCTCAGTCGAGCGGTGAGCAACCCGACTGACAGCTCAAAAGAAATATGACGGCTGCCTTACCGGGCCATCACCCTTGGATAAACATGAACTGGGCACAAAGTCATGTCACCTTCACTCTACGTCCGAAGCATGAGCATGGGATCCTATCGATGCTCTTTGTTTGTTCAACAGACAAGGGTCACGGAGACTATCTACCATCAACAGACAAGGGTCACGGAGACTATCTACCATTCCAAAACACCGAAATCCCACCGTCAAGCGGATGGGTACCACCTCGTTATCGCACCATGTCCAGAGATCATGTTCACGATGCTTGTCCCATTGGCAACAGATGCAGTCTTGGCAGTTCTCATTGGATGAAGCCAGTGACGCAACCCCTTCTGAAATGAAGAGAAGCGGGCGGGCGACAGCTGCCGCTGACATTGTCATGTAACGCGCCTCAACGCCTTGTTAGACCAATGTTGGGAGGAGGGCTTGACATGGCGCAAATACTACTATGCAGTAGTGAGCCGCTTGGCTGAAAAAGAGCCAGATGATCTTTTCTTTCTCTTCAGCTTTGCCCACCGATTCAACTGTGATATTATCACGTCGGGGCCCTCTGTCGCCCTCGCTGTTCAGCTCTTCAGCCGCTTCGATTTATCTCGAGCCTTAAGCACTCTGATTGCCTCGGCTGTCGACAACCGTTGATCCATGAAGATCATCTACACTACCCCCCATCCCACTGTTACATTGCCCACACAACAACAGGCCACGAGGGGTCATTTCTAATTTTTCCTGATTTGTATCAGGAAATTTGCTTGGACAACTTGATCTTAGGGTTCTCGGTAAATTGGCATTGAAGACAAGACCTCTACCCAACGTCATCAGACAACTGGGAAATTATATTGGCCGTCTGTCTTTGATTCTTCACCCAGCAACTTCCAGGTTGAACGCCTTTACCTACCAGCGAATGTTGAAGAGAAGCCTACAATTATGGAAAACTCAATGGTAACAGACGACCTCTCTTGGTCAATCGTTGACACTATCAAGCAATCGCCACCCATCGATGTCAAAGCTCCTTACGACACCAAGTCCCTCGCCGGCAAAACCATCCTGATCACCGGCGGGGCATCCGGTTTCGGTGCCGCTTTCGCCCGCAAATGGGCCGAACACGGCTCCCATATCATCATCGGCGACGTGAATGACTCGGCCGGCGAGGACCTCATCGCCGAGCTCCGCTCCCTCCCCGGGTCCTCCAAGCACCACTACTACCAGCACTGCGACGTGACCAAATGGGAAGACCAAGTCTCCCTCTTCAAAATGGCCGCCCGCGCTAGTCCCACCCGCGGGATCGATGCCGTCGTAGCCAGTGCCGGCATCAGCGAGCATAGGGACGTAGCTTCCGGCGCCCCGGGCGTCTTCGACAACCCCTCCGATCTGGACTCCGATTCCCTCCTTCCCCCACCACCGCCCTTAAACGTCCTCAACGTCAACCTGACAGGCGTCATGTACACTACCCACCTCGCTCTCTTCTGGCTTCCCCGCAACGGCGGCGTCTCCCGCCTCGATGTCCAAGATGACACCTCTGCTGCTGATGATGGCCGGCCGATTCGTGACCGCCACCTCCTTCTCGTCTCCTCCATCGCCGGCCTTGCACCCCTCCCCGGCCAAACGGAGTACACTGCCTCCAAGCACGGGGTGCTCGGTCTCTTCCGCTCGCTAAGGGCGACCTCCTGGACGAAGGGGATCCGATGCAACGTGCTTTGTCCGTACTTTGTCGATACCCCCATCGTTCCCTGGCGCGCCCTGGCGCTGTTGGCGGGCGGGCCGAAGGCGGACATTGAGGATGTGGTGGATGCGGCGACGAGGTTGATGGCTGACGAGGAGGTGGTGGGGAGGGGGTTGCTTATTGGGGGGAGGCAGCGGGTCGTGGGGGGGAAGTTGGTGGTTGTTGATGATGCTGAATATGCTGAGGGCGAGGGAGGAGATGGGGATGAGCATAGGGGAATTAGGAATTCGCCTAGTGCTGTGTGGGAGGTGCATGCGCATGATTATGAGATGGTGGAGGTTTTCGTTTATAGGTTTGTCAAAGTTTTGAACATGGTGAGGATAGTCAGGGGGTGGGTTGAAACGCTAAAAGATTTGTGGGCAATTTATTTGAGTCGGGGGAGAGGTGGAGGAAGGGCGGCGAAGGCGAAGGCAAAGAATGGGGTGTTGTAGGGGAAGTGAAGTTTGGTCAGGGTGATCCTTATGTTATGGCTATCATGACCGACGGCGGCGGCATTTGAGACAGTTCTTTGAGTGAATGTGGTTCGTGCAGAGGTCTACTTTAGTCTCTTGGTTTACGGGGCTTCAGGGTTCACAGTCTTTATTCATGCAATGAAAAAGAGAAGATAAAAAAAGGCCGAAAATTCAAAGAAAAACTTGATGAACAGACAGACGAACGGACGGACAACCCAAACAGGATGAGCGGGAACAAGGAGCACCATTTCTGAATTGTCCCTTAAAAAAGGGATTTTGAAGTCTATAACGCATGGTTTCTTCAGCCAGCCAGGTGCTAATGATACATAACACGAGTTCTTGGAAATAAAAATGCGTGACATGGTAAACATATATGAAATGAATGATACCAATCGGGGTGTGTAATGAGCTTATAGGAAAGGCGCTCTCGTCACCTGGTAATTTTTTCGTACCTTCCACCTACTCAAGTCATTGTCAACCTGATCTTCATCTGTAAAGGAAGGCACGATGTTGGTATTAAATACCAAGCAATTGCCGATTCGGCCGGGGAGGAGCATCTATGTAGTGCAGAATATTCATCTCCTCTTTGCATGTAACGGAATTGAAGAGATAGTGAGATGCGACTGAAAAGATGGGTGAATAATAATGACAGGGGAGAGGTAAGGTGAAGAGTGGATGAAGGAACAGGGAGGAATACACACCTCAGTGGAAGCTCAATGAAATTTGAAGTGTTGTGAAATTAACAGTCAAGACATCAAGTCAACTAAATATTGAACTTCACCTCCTCGTCATATGTGTCTTGGAATTAATCACAGTAGCCTTTGGTGACAAAGATCCCAACCTCAACGTCTTTTCCCTACTGATACAAGAACATTGCAGACATTCATTCTGCGCCCAACACACTACTTTGTTAGCACATTGTCCTTCATCGATGAATAAAAACGTGTCCGGCAGCTGTAGTCAGGGACAATTGACGTCATTGTTTGCCAAGTCGAAAATTCCGCCATGACAGACATTCAAATATGGTAATAGCCGAATAACGCCAATTAACACACTTTAACAGAGCCAAGAGAAAAACTAAAAAAATACTCGCTAATATGACATGACACCTCTCCCATTTACGCTTCTGATGGATATATCGCAGTCATTGCAGGCCTCCAAAATACTCTGGCTTCGTCTCTCACTCACTCTTGCTGTTATGAAATGCGCATTTCTGACAGTAATGGTTTCCTGGCAATGCAAACAACGTCACGCAACGCTGTAGTACAGACCCTGAAGGCTAGAGAGGATGTGGAGAGCGGTACGATAGCCGGATGGATAACACATCAGACGAGGAAAAGAGAGCCATGAGTTACATGAGAAGAAAAAAATAGGTAAGCAGCAAAAAGATACAGAATATCTAGTATAGAGTGTGATCCCTTCCATCCTGGGGAACATGAACTCCACCACCATATGCCAACGTCATGCCTTCCACAGAGGTTTTGTCGGGGTTTGTTTCGGTTCGGTGGTACCCGGCTGGGGTTGTCGTGAATGTTCATGTTGTTCGCGGTGTCATACCGAGAAGATAAGCAGATGTGTTTGTCGTTGTCGGATGAATGGAAGATTTGTCGCAACTCGTTCAAAGAAGCGATGAAGAAGGGGTATAAACATAACATGGCGCCAAGGAAATATAATCCTATCCAAAACGAATGCCCACGACAAGACATTTCATGCAAAGATGCCAAAAAAAAGAAAAACATTTTCCTGTTTAAAGTGTATAAACTTGGTATCATTTCATCCCATATCCCCCAAGTCTTTTGCCGTTAACCCCGGAGATGTATTTAGCACGGTTTGTAGATGCGTGCCCCGAATATGTATGTATAGTCCTTTGCCATATAATGTCAAACGATCCGGGGTTGAATTCCTTTCGCCGCGTGTGAGGGCTGCCGTAGATACACAAAGGTGGTTGGACTGATTGTTTGGAAAGACTGCACCACTGTGTATATATTTTCTTGCACCGCAAGCCGCCTGCATGAATGCCAGTGTAGTTGTATGTGTTGCGATACACCACAAGTCAAATAACAATAACTCCTACGGACCTCTTGGGTCCAAGTCGCCCATGCTTATTTCTCTCCCCTGGATGCTGATGATAAACCGATCGTGACGCCGAAGGCCGATGCCAATCCCTAGACTCCACGCACGCTGGTGTGGCCACGAAAACAGCTCTTGAACCATGGTCGAAGGCCATGAGACGCTCGCCCTGAACAAAAGCCAAAAAGGAGACCGGGGAAGCACAAGGGGAATTCTGGGAAAAGAGAATCCTCTACGACTCCAACGTGTTGGGTGAAACGCAAAAAGAAAAGAAAAGAAAAAAAAGAAAAAAAGAAAACCAACGACGTTAAATTAAGAGGGAAATCGTGTCCATGTAGAAAAACACCATTCATGTGTCCACACGCACCATGCGCCAATGCATGCCATGTCGAAGATGCCAGCCGTATGCAAGCCGTAACCACTGTGCCTCAAACATCGCCTACCAGCTCCAATCAACACCCCATGTCCATGTCGTCTTTTTTGTCCAATTGATCAGCGCGAGGCAAAGAAGAAAAGATGTGTAAGTGCAGTAAGAATCCAAAACGTGAAATATCCCTTTCTTGAAATACGCAGAAGAACATGGACAACAAATCGGAATTAACGAAGAGATCCGAAAATGCCATTCGGAGGGTAAGGACGCCCGGTTCTTATGCGTATTATCATCTTCCCATCATGTAAGCCGGAAATTGCGCCTGAGAGTTGCCGTTCAGCTGTGAAGAGCCGTTGAAGCTCGAAGCCCAAGGGCTCTGAGTTGTGGGGAACGGGGGCGGGGTATACGGATTGTGCCCGTTGTTCAGCATGTTAGGTGACCCCGAGTACAGCGACCTGTTCATACCCAAACCAGGAGGGGCAGACAAGCCTGGAGGAGGTCCATTTGCGGTTGTGAAGCCAGTGCTGGGACCGTGGGGAAAACCGTTCATGCCGTTCATAGGCCCAGGGCCATTCTGGCCAGGCGCCTGACCCGTGCGGACTCCCAAGGGATTCTTTGAGAAACTCAGTCGCATGCCGCCCTTCCTGCTGTTGCTGAGTGTATGACCATAGAGCTCGTTTAGGGCCTTGGTGGCAAAAGAGACGTCCTCGAACTCAACAAAGCACATGGGTCCATTGTGCTTGGTCCTGTAGCAAAGGCGCTTGTATCCCCGCACCTTTGAAAAAACGGCCTTGAGCTCTTCCTCGGAGGTGTCGATGGGCAGATTGCCGACATAGAGAGTATTGCAAGGAGGGTTCATGTCCGCGGGGTTCGCAGGTGGGTGTTGCCGATACGGCTGAGCATGGGGCATCATTGGGACGGGCCCGCCCATCATGTTGGTAGGCGACATGGTAGCAGAATGCGCTCCCATAGCCCCCATGCTTGACTGGGAATAGTGCGACATTGATTGCGGCATAGTCGTGGGAACCGATGTGTTTAGCGACAAGTTTGCCATACGCGTGATGGGAAGCTGAGATGAGGTGGAGCGACGTTGCTGGGGGCCGCCTTCAGCAAAGCCGCCGATCTCCTTGAGAATTTCGCCCGTTTCGTCATCATCTGCGGAATCGTTGTTGATCAAGGTCTTGCCGGTCGCGCGACTACCATCTGTAAGATAGTTTCCAATAGGCGATTGAGCCGAGAACAGGTTCTGGTAGTGCGCAGTGGCTTCGGGGCTGCCCAACTCGGTGGACCCGTACGCAGTATTAAGGGGCGGCGACATTCGGTCAAGAGATTGGAATGTGCCATTGAAGCGCGACACTTGTCTCGAGGAGGGCGCCGTCAGCGCTGTGGGCGAAGTGACTGCCGATGTCGCAGCGGAGACAGATGTGTCAATCGAAAATCTGGCGCTCGAGGCAGCGGAATCGGACTGAATGATCTCAACAATCATTTCGGCGTCCTTGGTCATGTTTGTCTTGCCATTCAGGAGTTGCCTTGTCTCTTGCGCGCCCTCCAAGGTTTTGAATGTGAGAATTGCGGTACGGAAACCAGCATCGTCCGACATATCGGCGGGCAGCAGTTCAGCTTTGACGAGATCCTTGGAGAGGGCCATCATGAGGCGCAGCTGGTCTTCGGTGAAATTGGCGGGCAACTTGCGAATGCGGGCGACAGAATAGGTTGGGGAGGGCGTCGTGGCAAACGGGGTTCCGACAGACTTGGCAGCTTCGCGATCGAAGGGCTTGCCAGGTGTGTAGTAGCCGACTGGAGAGGTCATGCCTTGTCTACTGTTGAAGGCCTGGGCAGCCTGAGCGGCGGAAGGCCGCGGTAGGTAGGATGGAGCGGCCATTGTGTTGGTTGTCGCAGTGGACGAGAAAGGGCTCGCGCGGTTGGAGGCCAGGGAAGCGAAAGAGTTGGCGTTAACAGTGACGGAGGAGGTTGCGCCCGGAGCGTTCACGTTCTGACGATGATCCCCGTTCATGCCTCGCGGTGCGTTTGGTGCATGTACAGGTTGGAGTCGCTACAAATAGAACGGAGTCGGACTGGGGCGACGATCGGACGTGATTGATCGAACGGGCGACGAGCCGTCGGCAGGTTGGCAGTGGAGGAATTGGGTTTCGCAGAGTGGATGCGACGGCGATTTTGTGGAGAGTAGGATACCTGGCTACGTCGAGCGTGTCAGGTACCGTGCTGGAATCCAGTTTGTAGGCACGCGTACACCACCCTCTTAAAATATGTGTGTGTGCTGTGACTCGCTCGCTTGAGAGATTGAAGGAAGTGCTAGGTGCTAGGTATTTGCGTGCAGTGTTCGTTCGGCAGCAGGGGGGGGCCGGGATAGGTGGGCAGTAAGGATGAGGACAGGACAAAGAGGCGACGGGGCCAGGCCTAGGGTGGAATCAAGCATACCTGTAGGTTATTTACCAAGACGCGACAGGATACCCAGCCAAGGTGA